TTAGCCTGTTTTCCTCACACAGTTGCTCCACCGCCCCACAGCAAGTGGGATTCTCATTCTGCAAATCCCTACACTATTTCTTTGTTCCACAGTAACCCCAAATGTCACCAGATAGAGCCCAGAACAGTGATCATGGGCGTGCAAACGACGGTGTAAGGGCCAGTGTAATGACCTTGTTCCTAAGCACTCGACAACGCTTCCAAGTATCTTTGTATTTAGTTACTTGGTTAAGGTCCCGAACGTCTGACTCTCAGGCACTGTGTTTTTATTGCTACAGAATGAGCCAGAAACCATTCAAAACCTTTAAAAAGTCTTTTTAAATAGTCAGAATGAGGTTACAGTGTTGGCTGCCTGGCAAACACAACAGGCATTTCAAGTGGGAAGGAACAGTCCCTTATTGCATCTGCTGCTGGCATTTAGGGCACGCTGATCACTAACAATTCCCCAGCTCCAATGCTCAGCATCCTGCAGGCTGGGCAGAACCATAGGGAGCAAGGGGAGAGGAGAAAGGGGCTAGGTGAAAGGAAAGCCTGGGTTGAGAGTTAGCTGGAAATTTTCATTACAATTCATCAGAAAATGCTCATTTTTCACTTAAAGAGTCACAGAAATGCCCTGGTTTCCAACACCTGCCAGTGAAACATAAGCTGGGCTCCACCAGCAAACCCTGCCCAGATCTGCCTGTGTTCCACCTCACCTCAGGTGTCCAGGTCTGGCACCCTGGACTTTATAGAAACCAGAGCTTTTGACAAACTGCTCTGGAATTGCCTTCTGAAAGTGCTGGTGTCCTTGGGACAGACCTTAAACCCAGTGCAACCCTCCCTCCACCCAAGGTCATGGCTATTGATACCCCATCCCAGCCACTCCTTGGCACCACCACCATCACCAACCCAGCTGCTGGCAGGAAGCCTCAAGCAGCATGGTAGAAGGGAGGAATTCAGACTAGATACTTCTGGTGTTCTGGGGCCTTTACTTCCCCATTCTGGGCAATAGAAGGCCCATCACTTCTCCACCAGCTGGTAAGGGCTGCTTAGGGAAAATGCATAAATATCAGAGCCAAGCTCCCTGTCCTTCCTTGGCATAACTTCTAGAAGCTGCAAGTTTCCTCAGGACACTGAAGGAAGGCAAAGAGCAAAGATGATGGTCAGGAAAGCACTGTAGAAAGGCTGAATAGAATAATTTAAAGGTATTATTAATAATGATGGCAATTACAGTACTAGAAAGCTCAGTGGTTTTTCATACAGGGCTGAAAAGGGAAGAGGAACAAACCCAAGCAACTTCCACAAGAACACAAGAGAAGCAGTAACGCGCTGTGGAAACCAAACAAGATCAGTGTCCAGAAGCAGCAAGCCAAATCCTCTTCTTCACTAAACCAGCACGGGTCTCCTGGAGCTCAGGGGCTGGAGGAGAACCAAGGCTACCTCCCTCTGACCAGGGCAGAGGATATTAAAGCCGAGCTTTCCAAACACCTTTTGAGAAGTCAGCTCAAAATCACTGCAATTAAATAAGCCAAGGCATTCCCCCGAGGCTGTGCAAGAATCTGTGCTCTGTTCTGCTGAGCTGCTCTCCCAAGAGCCACCGAAACAAGTGTCACCCACCTATCACACCCCTACGTGTGTTCGCACTTCCCTACGCGCCATCAAGCCATCGGCTTGGGTCGCTTCTTGAGGACCATGCAAAGGCCGTCAAAACCCCACCAGTCATTAATTCCCAGGAAGCAGGCACTGCCTCATTGGTAATTACTTAAATAAACTTCCCTTTCGTGGTGTCTGAGCCACGGCCTTTCCTTCTGACACGTCCCAGGAAAGCTTTCTTTAAGGTAAGATAACACAAGGGTTGTGGACACGAGCTGGGCTGCACCTGACTAAACACTGAGCCCATGGGTGATGGCCGCATGGCTTGAGTGGGATTTCACTGCCTTGCTCCCCAGTCCAGCACAGCCCCTTCCAGCTCACAGCAGAACAGCCCGAGTAGGATTTCCCCTTATATATGCAGCGTGTATCCTTCATGCAAATCTGTCTCATAAATCACTGCATCCCAGGTGCACCACAGAGTAATTTGTTAGGAAAATACTGTTCCAACCAAAGGATCCAGCATAGCACAGTGGCCATTAATTAGGAGGGGCAATAACCAGGATAGGGGTGACTTGGAAACCTGACAGCCTCTGAAAATGATTCATCCTGCCTGACCTTAAATCTTAGATCCTGACTATTGCAGACGGAGCCGCCTTCGCAGGCAGGAAGCATCAGTCATGGCCATGTTCATATCCCCTCTCCCTGCCCATGGCTACAGGACACATGAGGACCCCCAGCTTAAAGAACTTGGGATTTGGGTTATTAGCTAACCCAAAATAACCGAAACAAGGGGCACTGTACACAGAACCACTCTGCTTTCTGCAACTTCACTAACAAACAGCTGCAGCCTGTGCTTATCTCACCTTCACGGCTATGAGAAAGATCTTACTGGTCTCAGTGATTTATGCTTCTATCAGCTGAGATCCTGATCTCAAAACTCCAAGAATATCTTAACTTCTGCTGTGCCATATGATCACGCTATCTCTGATACAGAATTCTACCCAGACATCTCAGTTTGCTGCAGCTAATCCAACAATAACCCAAGCAGCTCCAGTTCTCACATGTTTCCACAGTATTTAGAATACTCCCAAACTGCTTATTCTTATCTACAGATGTCAGGAATACACTTTGCCAACCAGACCTTTGACCCACTTCCATGTAAAGATAATGTGAAGTTGCATGCAAGCACAGGACTCGTTTCCAGAGGAGGCAGCATGAAGTTACCAAAGTAAAGATCCATTTAAGTTAAAAGTTGAACAGTTTTGCTGTGGCAAGAGAAAAAAATCTCAGGATCTCAGAGAGTGCAGGGAGGAATATTGCACCGAGCTGAGGAAATGGACAAGCAGTCAGGCACAAAAACCTTCTACAGCTCTGACAAAGAAGCAATGAACTCAAGCTCTTGTAGAGCTTAGCTTAAACCAAATGGATAGAAAAAGGAGACAAATATGGAATTAAGATATTTCCCCTCTAATTGTATTAACTATAGTAATGGGGTGACATATAATGGCAAAAGAAATCTTAATGTGCGTAAGAAAATACAAACTAGAACACCACATAGGTTGAGCACTTCAACAGCATCCTAGAAATAGACATTTTAGACCATTTAGACCACATCACAGGTATTCAAGACTTTATCCATGTTCACCACAGCCAATACTTGCTGTCAGGCAACTGCAGAAGACATAGAATGGTTTGGGTTAGAAGGGACCTTAAAGCTCATCCAGTTCCAACCCCTGCCACAGGCAGGGACACCTTCCACTAGAGCAGCTTGCTCCAAGCCCCTGTGTCCAACCTGGCCTTGAACACTGCCAGGGATGGGGCAGCCACAGCTTCTCTGGGCACCCTGTGCCAGCGCCTCAGCACCCTCACAGGGAAGAGCTTCTGCCTAAGAGCTCATCTCAGTCTCCCCTCTGGCAGGTTAAAGCCGTTCCCCTTGGCCTTTCACTATGTGCTAGTCCTTCTCCAGGTTTCTTGTAGCCCCTTTAGGCACTGGGAGCTGCTCTAAGGTGCTCTCCCCTCCAGGCTGAACAACCCCAGCTCTCAGCCTCCTCTGGGCTCACTTGAGCCGATCCACGTCCTTATATTGGGGACCTAGAGCTGAATGCAATAAAAAACTCCATAAACAGCCATGGTAAAAATGCATCAGGAGCTCAGAGTAGCTCTTGGTGGGTTTCTGGCCCTACAGTGCTGGATTTTAGCACTGCCCATACACATTTATAGCCCTGAGGTGGTTGAAAAGGACTGACCAGAAGCAGAGACAAAGGGCAACATGGCACTGCTCAAACACAGCCACCTACCAACTGCTTTACACAGATGAAGCATGGCAACAAGCATCCTCCCAAGCAGCCCATGGCTGGCACGGACTGCCAGACAGAAGGATTTCTGCCCTTTGGTCTGTTCAATACAGCACTTATCAACACTCTGGGCCAGCTGATGTCCACCAGACACCACTTTTGGTGCTGGCATTCCCCGGGGAGTTCTTGGTGCACTCCTAGGTTCCTTGTTAGGTCCAGACAGGCACAAAACGCTCAACCCAGAGTCCAGGAGGGAGCAGATTTGCCCAAAGACACGCCGAGGACAGGGCTCCCTGCCATTACTAAAGTGCTTTGACCCCTGCCCTCCTGGAATGAAACCAGCCCCTCAAAGCTCCCAGTGTGAGGAAGAGAAAACTGCAACCGGGATGGAAAACTCGGAGTTCAACGCTCACAAGCCAAGGCTGCTAATCTTCTTGTCATGGGAGCAGACTCACCCGGCAGAGGGGAATTCCTGCCTTTGACTGGACTAATTAAAGGCATCGAACTCTGCACCCGTTATGGCTTGATGTGCCTTAATCCGATGTGACATTCGCCATACGCGAGGAGCGCCGGCGCGCACATACGGTTCTCATTGCTGAGCGGGGTCTGGCACCCGCGGGGTGCCCCAGCTGCAGCACGCTTCCTCCCCTCGCTGGGCTGAGCTGTGTGGGGTGGCAAAGTGGGCGATCATCCCACCTCAGAGCCACTAAGGTCCTGGTTAGGGGAGAGGAGTGTGGTCTGCCCCAGCGCTGAAAGGTCATTTGAGAAGGCGGGGATGGGATTGGGATTCAAAGCTTTCCTCCAGTGCAATGGAAGTGGAAGGTGCTGAATGAGCAGTACCTGTTTCTCTCCTGTGCAGGCACAGGAACTGTATCTCAGGAGTGCAGAATATTCCCAAGCATTTCAAGGCCAGGTTGGACAGAGCCTTGGGGTGGCATGGTGTAGGGTGAGGCGTCCCTGCCTATGGCAGGGGGTTGGAACTGGATGATCTTAAGGCCCTTTCCAACCCAAACCATTCCATGATTCTATGATGGTACACAAGATTGTAAAGATCTCACATTAGAGAAGTTTCAAGATGCAAGATGGGTGCTTGGATAGAGTGATGTGAACCATAGATAACACTTGTATTACTCACCTCCTGTCCAGGACTGGCCTCTTGAAGCCCAGGGATATGTCACCACACTCAACCATGCTCAACAGAATCCTGAACCAGCCCTGGGAAGAAAGCTTGGGCATGGGAGGGCAGTCAGTAGCGGATGAGTTGGGATGTCTGTGCCACAGGAGAACCTGGCTCTGAAGACCTGGGTTGAGACGCAGACCCTGAAAAACAATAAAGCTTTCTCAGTGGCACTGCAAGAAATCAACTTTCCTCTTCATTTATTGAGTGTTCTGTAAAAGATTAGAGTCCCACACCACTATTACTTGCACTGTCAATTAAAAGTGTTGGTCTGCTAGGTCGGATGGCAGCAGGCAGCCTGTTTATATCTGCAGGTCCCAAGTTCATTTCCAGTTAATGATCCATAAAAGGGACTGCAGCATTTCTCCTAGGAAGATTGCTTGGAAGCAACTGATAGACTGCTTAGGCTATGGGAGAAAAAAAGCACTGAAATACTGTCATGAGTTATAAATCAGGCAAAGTCAGCGATGCTCTGTAAGGAGCAGTAACGTTTGGTGCATGCTGGTACCAACGGCTGGTCAGTATAAGCTGCTTCAGAGTAAAACCAAAAAGAGGGTGATTTCAGTACAACTGAAATGCAGAACATGTTCAAATTCATATCTAATAAAGCAATTCTTGTTTATTATTGAAGTACCAATTGATTATTAAAAACACATTTATTGAGGCTGGACCACAAGGTAACAGATCTGTACCTCTGGCATAGTTGCGAAACCTCTGTAAACAGCGATTATTAGAAACAGATTTATTGAGGCCTAACGATAGCATAAGCTGCGTATCAGTTACAGAGCTCTTAAAACCTGATCAGTGTGTTCTTAAGCCCTTTTTACTGAGGGTTTACAGCTCAGCAGTAGGGCTACACGTCTTCATTTGGTGTTGTTAAGCCACACAGAATACCATCTTAATGCTCATTTGATACTTCATTAAGGTAGTGTTTGCAGGGAAAAGACTTCCCCAGTGAGAACCAGGAAACAACAATCATCTTCCTTCTTCCAACAACACAGATCACAGTCACTATTAGACCTGTTGGTGAATCTTCTCATTGATCGCTGAACCCCTCTTTCAGTGGAGCATGCGGATCAAGGGTGATCTGAGGGTACGACATGCAACAGGCAGGGTTGCATCCACCCCGGTGCCCGATGCTGGGAACACAGTGAGTCCTCCTGCCTACAGCCATGCAGCTCAAACCTCTGCTGGGCTTTGACCAACTCAACAAGCCCTGGTGCTCCACTCTTGCTGTAAATTGACTGCAGTCAGAACTGCAACAACACTAAAACTCAACAGAGACCAAATGCCGCCCAGGAGAAGGGAGCTGAGCATGGTGAAACCAGCACTAGCCACAGCCCGGTGAGCAGCAGGCAGAGGGTACCCCAGATGTGTCGTCCTTGTTTACTCACAGAGAACAAGTCCCATCCCATTGCTCCCTTCATAAATGATTGAAGACTTGCCTGGTGAAGCCACTTTTCCTCCTGTCCACCATTGCCAGTACCCATGGCTCCTGCTGCAGCCACCACATCTGGTACCTCCATCCTGCACACAGAGTACCAGACTACAGCACAGCCACCGGAGACTCCCCAGCACCCAGTGAGCCTTTCCCATATCTTGGGATATCTGAAGGGGACTACAAGGATGCTGGAGAGGGACTCTTTATCAGGGACTGTAGCAATAGGACAAGGGGTGATGGGTTTAAACTTAAACAGGGGAAGTTCAGGTTAGATATAAGGCAGAAGTTCTTTACTGCGAGGATGCTGAGGCACTGGCACAGGTTGCCCAAAAAATTGGTGAATGCTCCATCCCTGGCAGTGTTCAAGGCCAGGCTGGACGGAGCCTTGGGCAACATGGTCTAGTGTGAGGTGTCTCTGGCACGGAATTGAAACTAGATCATTTTAAGGTCCTTTCCAACCTGAACCATTCCATGAGTCCAACAGATCATATCCCAAATGCACAACCAGCCAAACAAAGAGGCAGCAGAGAAACTGCAGCCGGAGCAAAGGCAGCGATTTTGCCCAGATCATGCAGAACAGCTGGGGCAAAGCCCAGGGGAGAAGAGAGCTCTGCTCCTTTTCCTTTGCCATGCCTTCAGACCTCCCAGCCTCCACCAGAGGAGGAGGGGAGAAAAGAGCTCCAGATTACTGCAGAACTCCCCTAGCTCCAGTCTCCTCTGTTCCAATGTATATATTCCACTACAGGTGACATCATGATTGCTGGAGTCTGACAGGTGATGCTGTAAAATGCATGAAACCATAAAAATTTCAACAGCAGCAAGCTCCATTGCCGCTACATCTGACAGCACTTAGCTGCCCAGCTAACACAAATATTATAAAAGCACTCGGGAAAGAAATCCAACCTGCCTGACCTCAGTTTTGGACTAATAAACAGTACAGCACGACCAGATTTCACCCACATATCATAAACAGACAGCTTTTAAAGAAACCAAAGCAGGGTGCTGGTAGGTGTAAAGAACTAAGGCAAGAGATGAGTTGGAAGCGGGCAGTCGTTGGTGAAGCCGCAGGGTTTTCTGCCACTCCATCTCCCTACCAGGAGGGGATCTGTCTTAGGAACTGCATAACTACAGCTGCAAAAAAATGCTTGCTGGTGCTACGCAGCCAGAGCAGGGGTGCCTAAATCATGTCAGAACACCTGATGTTCATTTCTGCCCCATCCACAGGGAAAAAGTGAGTAATCTTGTCTCCGAAAGCTGGACAGTAAGTGAATCCAAGAGAATTATTGCCCTTTCTGTCATCACCCTCAGCACTACATTTGAAAAGGCCAAGGATCCGTTTCCTGTTTCTTTCTGCTGTGAGTCCCTCTCGTCTCCCTGGAGGAGGGGAGCACCTTGCCTTTGCTCTGTGGAAAGCTCCCTCTGAAGGAGGCGAAGGAGGATGCCCACGTGGGCAACAGCCTCCCATCCCCACCAAGGTGAGCCAGGCAGATGTGGGTTGGTGGCTCCAGCCAGGGCAGGGGTTTTCAAACCAGACATGATGAAATGGATCTTCAGTTTCCCCAGGAAGAACTGATTTCCATGGGTTATCTGGGAATAGTCCGATACACGGATGGGCAGAAGGAGCCTGTCACCTCCCACCCCAAAAGCTTTCTAAGCAGATGCTGGGAACTGATCCTGGCTGTTCTTAAGTCACCTCTCAGAGACACACAAGGTCCAATTTCCAACCCACCCTGCATCCATGCATGAGAATCCCCAAGCATACCTTAGCCCTGGGACTGTCCCAGCACCCAGGGCCACCAGAGCCTGTGCCCAGCAACAGGCACCAACCCACTGGGCATCAGCGCCAATAAGTGCAGCTGGAATCCGATTTGTTGTTAGACATAGTGACAGTGTTGAGACAGGCAAGCAACAGAAGTTACTATAAATACACATATAGCTCCATTAAACCCCCTTTATTCCAACGATTGGAGAACTGTCTCTTATGGATGCATACACCAGAGTGGGAGCGAGCAGAGCAGCAGGCACCAATGGGGCTGCCAGCTCTGGAGCTCTGTTACCAGGCAAAGGAACAGCAGCATCAAACCCACACTGTTCACCCAGTGATGGGAATCAGCAACAGTGGTCAAACCTTCTAAATGTGGCTTTTGATAGTAAAGGTAGAACTATTTAAACGTCACTTTTTCAACCATTTCAACTACTGCAAAATTCTATCCAGCCTTTTTAATCACAGGTTTCACCGAGCACTTCAGCGGAGAGCGAACAACGATCATGTTCTCACTAAATCAGCACTGTTCTTTCACCATTACACCCTTTGTGTTGAACTAACTAGCAACAGATCAGCAGATTTTGCAGTTTTTCGTTACTGGAACAATATGCATAATGAAAAACATGAAAAGTGCATTCACTGGACCGAGTCGAAATCTTTTTCACGTAAATGGGTCCCTATTTTGCAGTCAGATTTGTCAGAATTGACAGCAGCTGATAGAAATGTGATGGCTGCAGTGATTGAAAGCAGCTGATTCAGACCAATACAGGACAGCAACTCCTTGGTGAGGAACATTGACTCTTACCTACTGGGGGGGCAGGACAAGCTGTTACGTGGTAGGTCTTCACCTTTTCTGCTCCTGTTCTTCTAAGTCTCCAGTTCAGCAGCCAGGTCCAGCTACAAACAAACCCAAATCACAGACTTTTACAAATACAAGCAGACATTGAGATGATTTAAGCGTGTCCTTTGCAGTCACCTTCATTCAGAGCCAAGAAGATATTTAGGCACCTAATTTTGGATAAACTAAAGTGGATGTCATCCCCATGGGAAGTTTCCTGCCTAATCCTTCCCTGGATCACATCCCATGCCTCCCTGCTGCTTCTCCACTGCAAAATACAGTGGAAAATGCTAACAGGACTTCCCAATCGTACCACTTCCAACTTGGGTTACTCAAGGGCTCAGCTACTCAAATTCAGAGAAAGGCAACGAGCTCTCCCCAGCCAGCACAGGAGAGCAGCTCTGGATTAAGTGCTCCCATCTCCTGCTCCAGCCTCCCTGGATCATTCCCAGGGCTCCAGCCTAAAGGGAGCGGAAGCAGCTGCTTGGGGCTCCCTACAGATGATACGGAGCTGCAGGAGTCCCAGTTAATTCGTATCAAGCCAGGAGATGGCACTCCACAACATGCAGAGTAACGCTTTGCATGCCCCAAAACCCTCCCTTTTGTGCCTGCCAAGCAATTCCTTCCACCCATCAGCATCTCTGAGCGCAGCAGGTTGTACCAGGCCCCGGGGAGATGATGGGGAGGTGATGCAGCCACCACCACAGTCCTGCTGCTGTACAGCCCTACACCTGCAGCAGTCCTCAGTGGCTCCCAGCAGCTCTGGTTTGCAAACTCAGAGTCTCTTTCATGCAAACCCCTTCTTTTTTTTTATAGAATAAGCAAAAAAGTAATAATAACTGATCATAAAAAAATCAAAACCGTTTACCTTTCAGGAGGCAACTCAGCACAGGCTATTACAGGGTAATTTGGTACATCATAAACTTTTCTATTAGAACAGAAAACAGGGCTGCTTGCATGAGCTGCCAATTGGAAATAAAATAGTGGTGGGGTCGTGTTCATTAGCACCACTTTTTCTATTAGCTTTGCTTTCCAATGGGGTGGGGAGAGGAGGGGGATTAAGATGCAGGTGATGGTAGATAA